CACCCAAGATTTAAATGTCCAATATTGTACTATATTTGAAAATGAAACATATTAACAATGAGGCCCCCACAGCACGTTTTTAACATTCATGCAGGAAATATCATTAAGCTCTCTTCTAAAAGAGCTGTTTTTGGCTTTCCACGCACCCGCCCTCCTGAAGGCCACGCCCCCTAAACCCGCAACCATGGCAATTAGTCAGAGTTTGTAAAGATGGGGGCTAAATGGTGTGGTAATAGTTCATAAGGTAAAGGCCTGACCTTGCTGGGCTGCTACAGGCCGCTCTGGGCAGCTTATAAGTGACAAAAACACAACAGGAGAGGGTTGTAGTAATACAATTTTTTTTATTCTATTGGAAATACAGACAAATCTTGCACTGAGCATCTCAATAAACAGCATGGAGCATTTTTTTCAAATACGGAACGATGCCATTTTTCAACGGTTGGCCTGAAACTCTAGACTGTAAACCTTTCACCAAAACATCCAACAAGTAGGCCTACACCACACGTTTAGCCTGAGCTGCTACGGCCTCTATATGCCATGATCAACAAACCGGGCTGCTACTAACATTTATTTAACTCAAGCACACAATCAGGATTACTGCAGCTATCCTGTAAATAAAAGACTGTGAAGCACAGAGAAGATTCTCCATCTTATAAAAACACCTGCTTATCATAATAGCCAATGACACAAAAGTTAGCTGTATTGGTTAGGTGTTCACAGGCATTCAGGCTAAGCAGGGGGAGTGTTTTTTTCCACTTATAAAGCCATAAAGAGCATGCTTTTCAGACAGACCATTTTGAGCACACATTCAGGCAGACATGCACTGTACTGTGCTCATGATATCTGTTCTTACATTGTACGGTCCAATGCTCTGAGGCAATCTAACAACCAACCTAAAACCACTGATCGGACTCAGCCCAGTAGAGAGATGGTGTTGGTCGGACTTGTCAATCAGGAAGTAAAGTCAGAGAAGAAGTATTCCCTTGCTTTCACAGGAAACGCTAACAATCACCTCACAAGGCCGACTGAATTTAAACCATGTATAATTTCAATCGCCCCCTCACTAACGCCTGTATGCTACGCAACGCAGGAAACACAATAAAGCTAAAACTTGGCCTGGTCCAAAAAAATTCTTGAAAAAATTGAAAAATTGAAAAAAAGGGGCATAATAGGGCCAAAAATCATATTGTGTGCCCGACCATGGCTAAGAGGTGGAGCAAGGTAGAGAGAGACATGACTGTGTTTTTTTCTCCAGATGTGAAACTCTTAAACAGGCTTCAGGACAAATATATTTATTTTGCATATTAGACCTTTAAGTTGTTATTTCTTTATTATAGGACTTTGACAATTACTTTTTCAAATCTTTCCATCCAGTCTTGGTACATAGACATTAAATCAGTGACTGTTCAAAATCTAAACTATAAAAAAGTCAAAAAATCAGGAAAGAATGAAAACAAGAATAAGTGTTAGGCCTATACATCAATCTAGACTCAAGAGTGTTGGCCTGGTGGGTTAGAGAAGTGCGCTTGTGCCCTGAGAAGGTTGCAAGTACATGGTTCGATCCCCACAGCCTTCACTCTGGGTACCTGTGCAAATCCCTTAACCCCTCACTGCTCCCTGGGTACCACCCAATGGCAGCCCACTGCTCCCCAAGGGGATGGGTTAAATGCAGAGAGTGAATTTCCCAAATGTGGGACAATAAAGGGATTTACATTTATTTTTATGAGGAGTGGTGGCAGCAGTTAGGGACTTTGCTCTTGGAATCCAGAGGTTCTAAGTTCAATCCGCACTTTCACAGACTGCCAACCTGGGTCCCTGAGCAAGACCCTTAACCCCACACTGCTCCCCAAGGGGATGGGTTAAATGTAGAGAGTTCATTGTGTTGCTCTTTACTTGTGGCAATGTAATGACAATAACTGCTGGGGAAAAAATTGGTGACTGAAGGAGATAATTAAACAACAAGAGACTAAAAACCTGAGGTGCATAATCCTATACTGATAGTAATGCTTAATAGCAGATTTTCTGGCAATAGCCCCTTGGATGTGAAACAACAAAAAGTAACCAAGTGTTCCCTTCACATTGCAAGACTGCATTTTTTGAGTTAAAATAGCTTTATTCCTTCTATTTATTTTTTTTTTGGAAACAATAATTGTATATCTATGTTTAACTACATTAAACGCCTTCTGACTTCTTGCAGACCAGAGAAGTTTATTTATAGGACACATTGCAGTGGCATTAATAAAAACATAAATAATTAAAGACAATAAAAGTGAATAAATGGAGATGATTAAATTAAGTTCAGGAGGGCCACACCAAAACACTCCTCAGATCCCCTAGCACTCTATTTATAACTGCTAACCTCTTCCTCTCAGTCTGTATGTTACGTCAAACTCAGCCTCCCTTCACCCTTTTCCCTTTCCTATCTCTGTTAATCTCATTATCTATTCTTTTTCTTCTCTGTGGTATGGTCCAAGAATACGAGATAGAGAAAATAATGTTAACAAATGATAATGCGGGAAGGCTCTTAAGAGGTTTAAGGTGTTTTTTAAAAATGAGGGCAGCACAGCTGGGAACCAAGTACAGAGCTCTATCTCCCGGTTAGTCCTCCTGTTTTGGACACTTAGACCAAAACAAACATGGGCAAAGAGTAGTAGAAAGATGCATGTCTGCTCAGAAGGAAAATTAATCAACAACGCAATGACTGGTGCTTACATAGGTGGTCTTCATAATGACCGGCCACTCAACTATCGTGGCTGATCATGTGAAAATCGTCCAACTCCGAGCACTGCCAATTGACCCATTAAAGCAGTCTGGGGGTCTTCTAAACTTCATATATTATAAACATATTTTTTATCTGTTTTTATAGATATTATCATTTTGACAACTCTATAAATGCAAGTGTGATTAAAACAAACAGCAGAATCAAATAAAGTGTCAAACTTAGCCCATTGGTGAGTTGTATTGTTTTCAGATGATGTTTAGAGCACCCCATGCGGTCCCTGGGAGCCCTTGGTGCCTGCGGGCACCAGGTTGGTGACTCTTGATCTAGGGGGTTCAGTTCAGTTCAGAACCGAGTTCCTCAGGGGATCATACCTCCACACAAAAGTTTTCACACCCTCTGTTTACTCCTCAGATTTCCTCAGAACCACAACCCCCTACCATTCATCCCTTCATCCTTTCATCCCTTCATCCTACATTCAGTCAATAAACCTCTAAACTCATATTCAGTTTTGGTGTGGTCCTTTCAAGTGAATTAAAATATAGTAATTATATTGAAAGCAAAGGGAAAAAATATTAAAAAAGGAAAGTTGGATTGAAACCTTAACTAATGTTACAGCCAATGGCCACTCTTAACAAATATATATTTAATCAGTTTTCTGGGAGTTTATTCCAGGTTGAATAAGTAGAGCTTAAGAACTAAAAGCTGCTTCTCCATGTTTGGTTCTGGGTATGCAAAGTACCGGTAGATCAGAGCCAGAAGACCAGAGAGGTTTGGGCTCTTGATACATGGTCTCTGAAAGTTCAGGTCTGAATCCATCACAACACCGAGATTTCAAATCGGACTAGTAGTTTCTAGCTGTATTAATTGAAGCTATAGCTAAATTTGGCACAGTAATACATCGATTTATTTTCATTACACTAACCCAGCCCTTGAATGGTATTGTATCACCTGGTTGCACAGTAATGTATAGCCGTGTGTCGTCTACATAGTTATGGTAACATGTTAGTTAATAAGATCTAACTGTAATAAGCCTTATATTATTAGCTGATCCAGTTTGAGAGGATGAAGACTAATGCGGTTAGTACTTTCTTTTTCGTGCTCATCTGCCATATTGAATCAAGATGTGATTTTTAAAAAAAATAGCAAATGAGATTCTTTAGAAATTGACTAATGCTTCAAAAATAAACTCTGCTAAACTATGGCATTTTGACAAAATAAAAAAAACTCAATTTTATATGACTCACACTCTTTGCTTTTATATTTTGTTGTGAGAAGATATAAAATCTAGGCGACAAGCTGCTGTGGTTTAGCAGCAACCATTGTGAGGTCTGTGTTGTAGATGCTAGAAAGATTTTCCTGCTTTTCTGCACACAGAGAAAAGAACAGCTTGGATTGCGCTTTCCAACCTATGCATTATACATCTGGAGTAATACCAGCAGAGCCGGGTTTTGACTTGCCTCTTGCAAATGACTCCAATTCATCAGGAGAGTTGTGGGTCAGCAGTCTGCCAAGAGACTAAGATATCATGTATCCCCACCCAGACTCCCTTTTCCCTCCTCCTTTTTACTGTGATATTACTTATTATGACCTTATAGAAGATTGCAGTGAGATGTGTTTGGATTCCACGTTTTCAGGAAAGCACTGTAAGCACACAAGAAATTCTAGAGAAGAAGAGGAGGGTGGGTTTGTGGGAGATTGTTTCCGTAAGATGTTGGAAAGTGCAGGGGGCTTAAAGAGTTATGCATTTTCCAACCAGATCAGTGAGGAGGATCTCAGAAGTGTTACAGCACCACATACTAAGGAGACATATTAAGATTAATACTTTTTTTCATAACCTAGCAAAAGTTTCCCTATCCAGTGATCTTTGCTAGACTTTGGTATACTAAAATTTCAAGTCTAATTTGCAACCGCTGTAAAAACATCACACTTTTTAGATGTTTATTTCTAAAAATAGGATAACTATCCCTCTCCTTCCACGTCACAATCATTCACCACGTTTTTTGTCTATCACAAAGATATTTATTCAATAAAGTGAAGTTGTGGAAGAAGAAGTTGTGAAAAGGCACAATAGGTGCAAATGCATTTTCCAAGACATGTTGAGATCAGGTTCGATTTTTGAACCTTATAAAAAGTCAGATTGTGTAATTTTGGTTGAGCAGGACCGCACATCTCTGTGGTTACATGAGCAGCAGCATCAGACTTGTATAACAAGATCCCATACTCCTCCAAATGCTGAACTCCTCCTCCTCATAATAATCATCTTATGCATCTCTAGGCTGCAGAAAACCGATATGAGTTCACAAGGAAACACTAACATTTAGCTTTTCATTATCCCTGCTTCTTCATTAAGACATGAAATCTGCTAACGTTTAGGAAAATTTATCATTTTAATAGTTTTCTTTCCACATTTTCTGACTTTCATTAATTTATAATGGGATTACGCGCATTTGGCACTTTTTACGCATGCTTCTGTATATTTGTTGTGCTCCTGCAATTATGCTGCTCTCAGAGGAATCCGGGTGGGCAACAAAGAAATGACCGCAGAGGCGCTTTTCGGCAGACGCTGCAGTGGTCTCACAACGGCAAGGTTTTCAGCCTTTTAAGCCAGGGTTCAGAGTACGTCCCTCCGAAGCGCAGGGGCGCAGCGCAAGAAGAGGAACAGCCTCGACCTGTCGCCATCATCCGAGATGCGGACGTGAGACACCAGGATTCCCCGAGTCAGCAGCAGCAGCAACAGCCTCCCCGAAGCCTCCTGACTCTTGTGAGAGGGCAAGAGCACCGTCAGCATCTTCACCAGGAACGACCCGCGGAGCTCACCAGAGCGCAAAGGAACCGCACATCCAATGCGAGCCAGGAAAATGTCCAAGTCAGTCCGCCTCTGCCCAGAGTTAATGACATGATGGTCGGTGATGACCCTTACGATCCATACAAGTCCATTGACAATAATAATCCATATTACAATTATTATGATGTTTATGAGAGACCAAGACCAAGGTCAAGACCTGGATATGGCACAAGGTATCATCAGTATGGTAAGAGAGGAAAAATGCTTCCAGATATTTGTCAGAAGTGTGGGTGTGTGGGGTAATCAAGAGCCAATAAATAGATAATGTATTAAGAAAAATGATTGGCCATTAAAAAGTGTGAAATTGTAACACACTCTCTAAACCTTATCTAACCTGCTATGTGAAGATAATTCAAACTACAGCTTGGTGGTGCTATTCCTTGGTAGCTTAAGTTAATTTAACCTCTATGACTTTATGAGCTTACCCGCCAATTTAGCTCAAACTGCATGCAATCTTTTTAGTCTATTATTTTAGATGTAAACTTTTTGGCTGATCTATTGTTCATTTGTAATGACTGCCAAAAACAAACATACCCTTTAACTATTTTATACTGGAGAAGCTTTTACAAGTATTCCTACAAGTTGGAAGGTACAACCAGCCAAACTGTTCAATTCACTGGCAACCAGTGCTACAAGCTTAGATTAAGTCTGACTTTGAAGTTAGAACTTTTGCTAAACTAGGTTTTCTAACAGCAGTTTAGCAATGATTTGTTTGAACTTGATGTTTAAGTCTTTTTTTTCTGGGCGCCATATAGTTACTGAATGGCCTGACCGATTTTTTTTCTTCTTCTAATTTTCTTCTGTTTCTATTATTGTGCATGAATTTGGACCTGAATTAAATAGGCTTATACTTTTGTTTCTAAATCTTGGACAGTTTCATTTTTTGAGGAACAATTGGCTTAGAAATGCCATTTTCAAGCAAACGTTGTTGTATTTATCTATTCAGCGTAAATCTATTCTTACGATAGCCTACTGTAGGAAAAAACTGTTCCATGACTAATTTATTCATATAACGCAAGTTTGACTTCACTATAACTGCTTTCGCTAAGCTAGTCACAGTGAACTGCAAAGCATTATATCTTAGTCATACACAGAAACGTTTTCCAACACACATTTAATTTTGGTTCTAATCTATTACTGAAATGTATTTCTCACAATACAGCCAATCCTAACATATTAAATGTAGAAAAGGAGAAAATACTGAATGGGAAAAATAAATGCACAAAATTTGAATTAAGTGTGGTGGGATATAGCAGCTATTCAAAGTAATTCTAAGAAACTAACCAATTGTTGATATTAGTTATCTACATTAAAGCGGGACAATTACATACAAGGCCTATAGCAAACACATCAAAATAAAATAAAGCAATATATGACAATTGTTTGTCCTCATCAGGTTCACTTAGTTGTTTTTGAGCCTTAAAAACCAAGTGCTCCACAAACATAATGTCATACCACACCACTTGTGATCTTATGGAACAAAAACAAACTTTAAAACACAGAAATAAAATATATTAAGTTAACAGAAATGGGAAATCAAAATAAGGCACTGCCGCAGAAATGTATGAATTCATAGTACATGACTATGCCCCTTTAATATAGTTGCTTTAAAAGTAAACAAAGGTAAGCTTTTAAATTAAAACCTTCCAAGTTGCGTTTTTTTTTTTCTTTTTTCTGGCATTTACCGTTTCCTATCTTCCTATTTTCTTGTCTTATTGGCTTGTATTTTCCTACCAATTTGTAGGTCTCCCTGATCTTGTGCCTGACCCATACTACATTCAAGCTTCAGTTTATGTCCAAAGGGCACCAATGTACAACCTGAGATGTGCAGCTGAGGAAAACTGTTTGTCAAGGTATGTTCTCCTCTTTAGTGATTTACAAGATTAAAATGGGGGGGAAAAAAGAGGAGGTGGGGGTTGCTGAGTGTGAATCAGGCAGCTACGAGCCATAACAACCACCTAAGTGTTTGTGGGTGACGGCTGCCTAGTGGAAGCAGTGAGATGAGTTAAAATTAAGTGACTCCTACAGCTGATGGTGTAGGAAGGGGGTGGGGTTGGTGGATTTCTGTTAAAGTTTAATCATAGCCTGCACTGGGAGAGAAAGCCCAAATGGTAAACACATTATCAAGGACTAACCCAAACAACTGTGCGCCTCTGAAGGATTTTTTTTTTTCCACCCAGCATTTAAACACACTGACACACAGACTGAGTTCAGTTTGTCCCATGAGAGTCTGCTCCACTCTGAGGAAGAGATGAAGCAGGGAAAACATCAGTGGTGATGTCATTATGTCCACCTAAGAAGGTGCTTTCTATCCCTTCAATCACATCTGTTTTCTTTTCTCTACGCTTTCAGTTCAGCGTATGGAGCAAGAGACTATGACACCAGAGTGCTGCTGAGGTTTCCCCAGAGAGTTAAGAACCAGGGCACCGCTGACTTCCTCCCAAGCAGGCCACGCTACTCCTGGGAGTGGCACAGCTGCCACCAGTGAGTAGAAAGTTCACGTCCACGCTGTCCACCACAATATCACACAGACACCCTTTCTCCGCCTGTGTAGATTTTGGTTTTGCTCCTTTTTTTATGCCATTGTGAGTCAGCTTGTAACTGTTCCCACTCAGTTTTGTGATCTCTTTCATCCTATAAATCTGCTTAATAAAACAAAGAGTAAAACTGTTCAAATAAAAAGTAAAAAGACAACCCTGTGAAGTGTAAAACTCAAATATTAATTTTCTATTTTTATAATCTGGAATGAACTATAAAATCACTAAACAGATATACTACATAATGAAATTGGCAGTATACACAGGCACGCACATACTGGTATGTAGACCAGTAGGCAACGTAGGTCTTATTGTCTTGCTCAAGAAGAAATCATCAAGCTGCATAGGGTCCATAAATCAAGAAAGCAACCCTCAAATTACCAGATTACTACTATCACTTCTCTGCAGTATTCATTTGAACAAATCCTTTTAGTAGAAAGCTAATGTTTTACAGAAATTCTGAATGTTCACCACTATTTTAGCCTTACTGCCTGAATTCTTAAGAATAGTTAAAAAATATATATTATTTACAATCACCAGTTAGAGAGATCCAATTAAAGTAGGTGTTAATTTGTCTATCAGAAAATAAGTATTTTGTATTCAGTGTTTAAATTAGACATTGTCCAGCATAACTCCAAACATTACATTGCAGCAATGTGCTTCTAATAATGATATTCTTATTGTTTATCACTAATTAGTCAGGATAAATGGTTCACATACACCATGTAAGTTTTGTGGTACTTAGTTCAGATTTATGACAAACTTATAAGAGGGATTAAGTAAGACCAAAGAACACTTTTGCACCATACGCTGATGACATTTTATTTTTAACAAATGTTATCATTATATCTGCAGCTAAACCACAGCCATGCGTGCCTTCTTTCTGTTCTGTGTACGCATTAGGAGAGTGTATTGAATCCTACTAAATCATGACCTTCCCTTGTCCAATTTGATTTATTGACAACTGCAAAGCCTAGTGTTGCTAACAAAAGTACTTTAAAGAAATGAATCATTATGTAGGTGAAATATACTGATCCTTTGGTCTCTTCCCTGGGTTTACTGTAAAAGTCCAGCTTTAGTTTCTCCTGAAACTACCTCATTCCATAGTTATGCTGTGGATTGAGAGGGTGGCTGGGCTGTTTCCCAACATGGAGAACATCTGGCCAAGATCCAGCAAACTGTTGATGTAGTCTGTATAGATTTTTGGTCAGTGTTTGGAGAGTCAACTGCAGTTAAAGGCCAGACTGTTTCCTTTGAGACGGCAGAGTTAAACCAGATGTTGAACAACTCAGGACTCTATACATTCTAAATAGAATTATTATTTGTGAAGTTGGCATTATGACACATGATGTCCATTTTTTTCACATGAAAAGAAATGCAGCCTAATTAAATTGTATGATATCCTGTACAATGGGAAAAAAGAGAGATTCTTATATATTTTTTTCTGTTAATGACCCATGTCCTGTTGATGATCGACAGGCACTACCACAGCATGGATGAGTTCAGCCATTACGAACTGCTGGATGCCACCACTCAGCACTCGGTGGCAGAGGGCCACAAGGCTAGCTTCTGCTTGGAGGACACCTCCTGTGATTACGGATACTACAGGAGATACGCCTGCACGTCACACACCCAGGTCACAAAATGAGCTCCGGTTTTGTAACCTTTTTTGCAGAACATCCTGTCACTTTGTCCAAATAACCGTTATTTCTCAGTAATGTAATAGTGTCTTAAAAGGTCAATAGACTGCTTTCTATGTTTTGATCAATTAATCTCAAGCTTCAGACCTTTATGTTCACAACAAATCTTTATTTATTTTAATTTTATGCAAGTTCTCTCCATCAAGAATAAAAGTCACTACTTTGTGTGGATCATTAAGATCCTGTAACGTAAGGTGAAAAGAAAGCTGCAGAAGCCAATGCAGCATCTTTCTCATATAAA